AAGGGTGGGCTTGCATGAGGGGCAGTTTGGGGTAGGGGGTTGGGGGTTGGGGGGGGTATGACGCTATGGCAGCATTGTCTTTATGGCTGAGTAAGCTGCATGTGTGCAGGGGGTGGCTGGCTGCCTGAGAAACTGGTGGACACGCGGGGTTGGGGTTGGGGGAAGAGGCTGCTTCCCCTCTCTGCTTGCATACCAGCCAGTGTTTTTCCTGTTTTTTGTGTACCTCAATGCCTGCAGCAGAGCTCCTTTATATGCAGAGCAACTCTTGATGACTCTCATCAGTTTTAGGAAACAGGTGGCTTTTTTTCGGCAGCCTGCTGCTTTGCATGGGGCTATGGCAGAGTTTCTGGATTGGCTGGATAACGCAACAGGCAAAATATATTTAAGCCCGCCCCCCCCCCCCCCCCCCTCTTTCCCACCCACTGTTTGAAACCTCCTTGTCTCCCGCCAACCCGTGCTCCCTCCCCCACCGTTGCTGTCTAGTACATATGGAGGCCTTGTTCTCTGCTTTTCTTTTCTATTTTATCCATCAGTCTTTGCTGTCCGTTGCCTTTTGTTTGAGTGATAGTCATCATAAGCCCATTTGAAATGAGCCCCCCCCCCCACAACCTTTCTGTTTGGACTCAAGGCTTTCCTGTTTATGACAGGAGCAGCATGCAATGCAGACAGACAGGGAAAATAAACCGAGTATGACCTCACCCCTGTCTGTCACGAGTGCTGTGGGATTTATCGTAATTGCTGAAATGGTGTTTTTACACCCTGTGGTCATAGCAGCTAATCTTGCAAATCGTGAAAATGTGCTGATGGTTCCAGCATTAGTTCACAAGTCACTTCAACATAACCTGCCTTCCCACACATGCATTCTTGGTTCTGAGATGTTTCTTTTGGCAGTGCTTTGTGTGCCGTAGCTCAAACTATTAGGCCAAACTATTTCCCTCGAAATGGTGTGAACACTGTAGTCCTGCCAAGCCCGGGCCCATTCATCACTGAAACAGAAAAAGAGCACTGCACTCTGTCCATTAAGAGGAATGTAATTGATGGATCATGAGAGGACTTTATTTTTCTTGTCCCTAATAGAAAAAGGAAAAAGAAAGTCCTCAGTATCTCATTAGTCCCAGAGGAGTGAGGGGTCTTGCACTTGGTTTGGATTTTTTGAGTTAATGGCTGTCACGGTTTAGTCCTATCATTATGTAAATGAGCCGTCCTCGCCCCTTTGCACCAGCCCTGTAAATGTCAGGAGGATTTTGAAAAGGTCGGGAGTGTGTGTCTATACAAGTGTAAGAAAGTCTGGTTTAGTTCGCAACATGTGCTAGCAGATCCACACACGGGTACTAAAGGGGCATTTGTGTTAAAATGACACATTACTAACATCCTCCTTCTCTGTATAATCACTTTTGGTGATACAAATGTGAAAGTGTTCTTGAATTTATGCCTTAGCAAAAACGTTTGAGTGATACTGAGTTTTTGTCCATGTCCTCCTGCACAGTGAAATAATTTAAGAGAAAGCAAGTGCTGGATGAAAAGCCATTTTACTGATGTGGGAAAAACATTTTACTCTGAACCCCTTTTTATTGTGTAGCCTTTTTTAATATTAAACATTGTTGTTTAGTGTATATCCTCACAGGACTTCAGATGTATAAATATTTTTGATGAATTTATTTTAGTGAAGTTACTTTTCTCTGTTGACTGTGTAAAAAAAAAAATGCAGACGATCCCTCAAGCTTACCGTTAACTCAGCAAAAATTAAGGGGTTGGATGGATCAGAAGAAAGGGAAGTTGATGAGCAAGGATCGCTGCATTCTCGGCCACGTATTGGGCCACAAATACTATTGCATGCACACAGTTGGGCACACAGCTGGTGATGAATAAGGGCAGTAACCTGAGGCTGTGCTGGAAGTCGGCTGACAGTCCAATAATAGGGAGGTGTCGCATCACAGCATGACGGTGCACATTTCTGTTACCGTCATTGTTCTCAGGCTTCATATCTGAGGGCATTTCTCTCCTTTTGCTCACTCCCTGATTATTTACCTGATTTAAAAAAAAAAGAACCACACTCTCCAACCTTTGATAACAGGCATTAGTGCCTTAAGAAAAGCAGAGACGGTGGCTTAGTGACAGATCTGTTGTCTTATCAGGATGATGCCCCCCCCCCTGCCCTCAGCGTGCATGTACATGCTGGCTGGATGGCGACCTGTATTGAGGTCACGCTGAGAGCCCCCCGCTGGGATGTTTGTGTTTGGCTCTATGTGTTGCCAGACTGCTGGAGTCTGTCCCATCTGATACAAAGGGAAACGAGCAGAAATCCTCCCCTTAGAAGGAATGCCAAACATTAATGTGAATGGGGCAGCCGAGGGATTTCCAAAAATATGACTGGAGTTGGACTGATGCTTCTTTTGGCAGAGGTGGGGGGTTACTTCTACACCAAATCTGTGAGCTCATACTGATAAAGGTTGACTGCAAAAGCCCATTCCATAATGGACACTCACCACCCACGTCTTAGTAGATAATGTAGAGTTTTAGTGCTGCGCAATCTGCTAGTGTAGCATGCAGGAGCTTATCTTACAGTTGTGCATGTCTTTATTTTTCAAGTCGCAGAGTGATTTCCATAATGTTGGTCAAGAAGCCTTCTGCCAAGTCTGCATTTTTCTATCTCCCTGCTCCTAACTGACCTCAGATGGAATTTGGGGAGATGCCGGTCAAACCCATTCTGACTCAGCCAATGTGGAGAATGAGCCGTAATTCCAATTGAAGATCCATTGAAAGGCAGCCAAACTCTTTAAAGTCTGCTTAATTAACTAGGCTCGGAGGATGAGTGTCTCTGACCTTAGTGTAGTAAAGTCACTGGCAAAGGTAGGGCTGCGAGTGGGGGTGGAGGATGTCGACATTACAAATTCCTCACCGCAGCGTTTGGCAGAAGAGCTGAAGGAGGATTTCTGGACACTGTGAGGGGGAGTGAACCAAGGAGGCTCAGCATTATCAGCTCCTTTATAACATAGTTGTAGTCCTCCCTTGCCTTGTTTTCTCTCTTAAAGCATCTGACACATTTAATTGCCAGTGAGGTTTTGTTTTATACAGTTAAAGGCTGGTTGTCTGTTTTCATGATGTTTTTACGATTTTTACTCGGCTGTAATCCTCTTTCTGTCATCACTCAGCTCTTTCTTCCATCTTCGTCACATTACATTTCCTTCTGCAAACCCTCAGTGCACTCAGCAGATTTCTGTGTAACTAAGCTCTGAGGAACCTTGACTGTGTCCTCCCCGGTGTGTCCCCTCACCGAGCTGCTCATTAGCAGTCACCTTAATGTATCTAAATGTAGTTGGTGAGGTGGAAGGTGGTTTGTGCCATCGATCCGGTATCGAATGGTGGATGATGCAGTGTCCTTATGTGATATTGAAAACATTTAGGAATGCCCCGTCGACATGACAGCACCATGAAACATCTCTGTTCCCCTCCTCCTCCGCTAATCCCTCCTCGTGTCCTTTCTGCCCCCGGTTTGTGAAATGTCGAGCTGGTTTTGCAGTTGCTGCGGCTCCTGTGGCTCTTTTCACACATTTTGTTCCTGTCAGGGCACCTTTGCACATCCCCATAAGTGCACGCATACACCCATGTGCTGCACCGTCCCCTCATGTGACTCTGACAAGGTCATGTCCATTTCACACTCGTGTGAAGTAGTGGACAGGTAGGCTACAGGAGGAAATTGGATTTGGTGTGACAGGTCTTTTCGGGGTTTTTGTGCGCTGGACAGTGTTGCAAACATTAAAAACCACACGGCCTTGGATTACTTTCAATTTGGCCTGCTCTGCTGTTGATCCTATGACTCTTATCTGGGCAAAAGGGTGAAATTACACACTGTTAAGTGAACACGCTGTTTTCTTACTCCGATACAATCTCTGAAATGCGAGAGAAGAAAACTGATTAGGAAAATGCTAAAATGATGCATAGCCGGGATCATTTATTACAAAGGCATGCAGGGAGTGTTCCTGTGTTTCGCAAGACTAGACTGGTCTCATGCGCCTCCCACTCCATCTTGTCACCGGTATCTTCTGTGTCACTTGTTGGTTTTAAAATTTCCTGTGAAGCTGATAAACAGGCAGCTGGAGTCATCATTAGTCCCCTGAGCCTTGAGACGGCAGGTCCATTTAAAACCTGCACAGCACATTAGGGTCAAACGGAGGCAGCAGGTTATTTAGCTATCCGCCTGCTGCTTTGTCAACATGGCCAACCAGAGTTTGTTTGGCGAGGCTCCTCGGGGAGAGCAGCTCCTCCTCCGTGGTAGCGATTTGTCTCATCTGCTCAGCTGATTGCCTGGTCTCTAATGGGCCACTTGTTCCCCTCTGCCACTCTCCCCTTTGTCACATTTGTGTCTTTACTTCCACTCCATCTTGACTCATTCGTTCTTGCCTTCTCCTCCTTCCTCTGTTTATGTGCTCTGACAATCCACCGACTTCCTCCTCTGTAATTTGGTCCCCATAATTGATCCATCTGCTCAGTAAACCGCTGTGTCACTGTATCTCTTTTCCTCCTCTCCTCCTTCACTTTGTTTTTAGTTGTTAATCCCTCCGTTCTCCCTATTTAATTGGAATGTCTGTTGCCTCTCTCAAGCCTCTTGTACTTTCCTTCTTTCCCCTCCCTTCTGCTGCTCTCCTCATCTCTTGGTCGCCCTGCTCAATTCCCCAGTTGTCTCTTCCATCCATTTCAGTCCTGGAGTTTCTCCATTGACTCATCCAGACTGCCTTTGTTGCCTTTCTTCTCCTCTTCATTTGCTTCCCCTGCCTTCTGGCTGTTAATATCTCCTCAACAGCCCCCGTCCTCCCTACAGACATTTGGATTGCAGGCATCTGTCCCTTTCTAACGAGGTCTTCCATTTCTTTTTCTCCCACACGTCAGTAGATCCTGGTCTTTTTCTCCTTTTGTCTTTTGGCTGAAACATTTTTTTCCCTTCTATGGTTAACTTGCCGTGCTACTTTAACAGCGCCTCACCCGTTCCCTGATTATCTCACCCTGCGCTCCCCTCCGAACACCTCTATCTGTCCCGGCCGCAGAGCGACATGCACCACATCCATCCCCATTACGCACGAAACACAACCGCTGCACAAGCTTCCACGCAGCAGTGAGGGCTGATTTGGGGGTTGAATCCCTTGATTACTGTACACATGACTAGAAAGGAGAAATGACACAACAGAAACCTGTGACCTAGTGAGCTGAATAAAGCGGAAGAAAATGGAAATGGATGCTGGATTTATTTAATTTTGGTAGAGCTAACCTGTCACGCTCTGTTGGGATCAGGTTGACAGTGTCCACTCCCCTGCTGCTCACTGCTGTCACACACTCTTCTTCCCCTGCAGGCTGGTAATATGGCCTGACTCATCAAACAAGACTCTCCCCGAATGTGAAAGAGGATTATATTTGAAAAGTTGATTCTCTGTCTGGAGACCAATACAAACAAGTGAAGATTTACTTTCAAATGGATTTATGGCTCCAATTTGCTACTCAAATATATTTAAAAAAAACATTGACATAAGTCATTTAACATGCCGCACACAGATAATGTAGAAAGAGTTGAACTGTTGAAACTACACCTGAGAGGTACCTCCTGGACAGCATGGCATATTTTCTGCAACATTTGTGCTTGGCTTCTGAAAATGGCCGGTCATCCATGCTGCTGCCCAATGCTTTGCCATGCTAATCGTTTTGAGGGAGGGAAAAAAAAAAGTCTGTTTTTCTTAGCTTGACCCGCCGGTTAACAGACAGTTGGTCGAGCTGAAAATCCGATCCTCCGATTCCGGTCAGCAGTCAGTGCATCTCTAGCTATAAATCGAGCGGTGAAGTCCACACACGGAACTATTTCAATCAGTCAATTATTAAATTCTCAATACATAAGTTCTAGTAAAATGCATTTTAAATCTGTCTTGGTTATTTGGTTTGACAGGATTCAAGATTATAAAAGCTTGTGTCTTCAGTTTGAATAAACTTATTTGACAGTATGAGCACAGCTGTATACAAAGTGAAGCTGCAGCAAAACTGACTGACTTATGAAGGCTTTGTTTGTTTTGTGCATGAAAGAGCCATCCCTTCTTAAACTTGCAAACTTTGCAGTTCATTTCAAAACACCAAACACAGATTAGAACTGTGGCCACGAGCCAGAAGCAGTTTTAGAAGATGGATTTCACTGTCTCAGACACTGGTGGATTCCCTCTGACGTCGTGTTTTCGATACTCCCATCAGTCCAGATTAAAGGCCATGATTGATCATCGATTTGGCCCGCTTTACTCTGGATGGCATTCAGGTCGGTCTTTGCATCGTCACGCTGCAGAGCTGCTTTGGGACATTAGTGTTACCTTGTGTTATGGCAACAGTTCCACAGACAAAAACCTGTTCTGTAGCTTTCCCCTCCTCATGACTCAGTTCCCTGTGCAGAGGGAAGAGAGTTTCCTGGCCATTGTCAGCAGAGAGTTGTTTTTTTGTTTTTTCAAATGTAATAGCCTTTACATAGATTTTGCAGCCCTGGATAATTGAGATACATTCTCCCGCACTATGTCCAGTGTCCAGGGGTTGAAATGTCCCCAATGCAAAGGGTTAAACTAGAACACAGGCGGACACACTTTTTACTTTGATTTATGATTATAGTTCAATTTTTCACTTAATTTAATTAATTGTTGTTGGCAGTCGGTCCACAGGATGTTAACAAGCAGCAGCACTTATAAACAATGGAACGAGTTACTTCTGAATCACAAGTGTCAAATATTTCCAGGCAATATTTAGCTATTTATTTTCAGCTCTCGTCTACCATCAGCGAGCAATAAATGACTCGTGTAAAAGAACATTTCTTTACAATGATGTTTGTGACTGTTGGTGAAGATACGAGATGGACAGTGGCTTGTGGAATGATGGACTGTTTTTTAAAAATATCGCATTAGTTTGTTAGATATGTTACAAAAGTGTACAGTAAATTGTAATACTTGTTGCATCTTGTTCTGGGTTCAAAGGTCTCTGTTGACCCTGTAACAATACTTTTAGACTGTATATTAAACGTACGTGTGTATAAAAGGGGTTCATTGTTCAGTAGTTGCATCCTTTCCGTGTTGTTGTAGCCCGGGCAGTCGGCTGTCTGCTGCCAGACAAAATGATACAGTCGCTGTCGCTGACAACAGAGACATCATTGTTCTCACCCAGGCTTGGAGACCCTCCTCCCTTTTTCCTTTTCTCCCTCTTATCCAGGTGAACCGAGGGAAGCCGCTGAAAAAGCTATCTATTGTCCTCTGTCCCCTTTCCCGTCCTCCCCCTGTGCCACACCTGTATCAATGGACAGACTTGTCTTTGAGGACTGGCCCTTGAGGAAAGCGGCTCTGTAACAAGAGACGAATGGGCCGTTTCTCTTGAAATTGTAGCCTATGGAAGGGCATTTTTGTTTGTGTGGATGGACGGAGGCTTTGTTCTCCTTGAAGGGTATTTTTTTTGTGTCTAAAATTGTTTATATTCTGCACACATATAGATGTTTATGCAATGCTCTGGGCTGCCTGTTGTTTAAGCCTTATGTTTGGTCGCTTTACAAAGAGCCTTCAGGGAGGTGTTGAGAGGAGAGGAAGTGTCCTGTCCTCGGAGCAAAACGTGTCACCAAGACCCCCGAGTGTTTGCTCGCGCCCTCATGTTGCTGACGGCAATCTCCTGAATCTTCTTCCATTTTTTTTTCTCCTAAAAGCTTTCAAATAAAACACTTTAACCACTTACCTCCTTCCTTTACCCCCATTTCCACTTTACCTCCTCTTGCCAGTACCTTGCGGCTGATTCGTGCACTAGCGATTCATGAATTTTGCTCTGGCGCGGCACCGTCATGCAGGGTGCACGTATGAGTGTGTGTGTGTGTGGTGTCTTGAGTTTCAGAAAAAGGTTGATTGCTGGAGGGGAGGAAGGAAGGGGAAAAAGTAGAGAAGGAATGTGCTCTGATGCCAGCCGTGATTAGAGCAGCAGCACCGTTTAAACACACATTTAAATAGATACTGCTTCAGGAAGATGGGGTGATTTTGGGGGGGGGTTATCTGCTTGTGTAAATGAACACAAGTGTTCTCAATTGTTCTAGTTTTAAATAGAAATCTCCCCAGGCTCCACCTACCAGCCTTCTCTTGTTCATTTATCTCCTTGTGTTCGTTCCCTTCACTGTCTCTGTGTTATTAGATTCTTATGACAACTGTTTGTTTGTTTGCTTGTTTTTTTGTTTTTTTTCAACCATGGATGATTGATGGCCGCCATACAAGTTATTCTCTGTGCCCTCCTTCACTATCCTTCTCTGAATTCTTCTACACAGCTCCCTCCCCTCTGTCCGTTCATTTGGCTTTCATCCTTGAGCTAGTCTGTTCCACTCTCTTCCAATGTATATCTCCCCCTCATTCTTTCCAGATGACTCTTCTTCCTATCTCCCTTCATCACCTCTGCCCATTTTGAGTTTGCTTCCTATCTCCTGCTTCCTCCTCCTCTTTTTTTTTTCCTTTTCTTTCCCCAACACTGTGCATGGATCACTTTTCCTCCCTGAACCCGACTCGTCCTGTGTCTCAGGTTTGAATGTCCTACTTCGACTTCCTTTCGTTGCTTCTCTCCCCTTTTTCTGTTTATTTACGCAGAAAGAGATGGTGGTTGGGACGAGCTGTCGGGGCGGATTGATGGATGGCAGGGGGCCATGGGTGAGGGGGCTCGGGCGTTTGATTGACGCTCTTGTCACTCAGGATAATACTTACAGAATTGGCTGGCTCGTTACTGTAAAAAGGTCTCTCCAAGGAAGACTTGCCAGCTTTATTAAGATACCCCACTGTGCTCACTTTAGTCTCCTTGCTGATCAGCCTCCAGCGTAAAGGTCCGAACAAGCTGCAAGTAAGGCTTTCTTTGGAGGTGTATTGACATTTTCAAACATCTCCATCGACAAAGGTAGCCTGCTTCACCACATGTCTGCCCTTTAGAAAGCTCAGTACCCTGAAGATGACATAATTATGTTGTGTCAACGTGTGACAAGCTGAGCTTCACTGCATCAGAAGAATGAATATGCACGGCGTGGGAGGGAGTCTGTCCGTGATCTTCTAATGCTTATAGCCACTCAATCCAAATTATCAAGGCTGATGTAGGCTGTCCTTTACGGCCAGTAGTTAATTTTAGACTTTTTTGTAATCCTGGTATAGCATTTCTTTGTCAAGTATAATGATATTCATGAACCACTAATGCAGACACTGGGGTTAATTGGCCTAAAAAATTTGACAATATTGGCTATCATATCATAGCTATGCCAGACTGATGACATTCAATATTGGACTGGTTTTCTTCGACGTTTGAAACATAATTTGATTGCAGTGTGACCCTTTCAGGGATTTTTGCCAGTTGTTAGGTTTTTATTACATCCTGTTAAAGTATCTAACAGAGCACTAGCAGAGACGGCATGTCTTACCAAGCATTTAATTTCTATTCAATCACATTTTTCCTGTTTGCACTACCATTTAAAAATGTAATGGTTACAAATGGTATTTGGAGTCCTTCAGTACAGCAGCTCTGTGTGTCATATTTCATATCACCTAAGAAGCTTTGGCTCAGTTAGACCATTGATTGTAGCTGTGTTTCTTAATGTTTTGACTCCCCTTGGCTAAACTAGTTTAATTATATCAGGAATTATGAGCTAATGACTTCAGGCTTGGAAAATACCAGTGTTTTGATACTGACGAACAACTATGGTGTACTGTAAAAAGATCTAAAAGCACATTTAGACTTAGCTAGCACTGCTGCAAGGCTTCACTTTCAGTTTTGCAGCCCAAAAACTCTTGACATCTGGTTTAAACCTTAATAGTGACATAGCCCCAAAAGTCAGCACCTGAAGTATGATGTCTGCATATCTGTACAAAATGTTCATTTCTGCTGCTATGATTACTCCAAAATATTAGGAGAAGAAAACTAGATTATACATGTTGCTTAATTTTTTTAAGTGATCAAATACATGTAAAGACAAATTCTTAATTTAAGCATGTGACGGGTGCGGTTTTTCTGCTTCTGTTGTGCTTGATGTGATCAACTGAGTGTTATGTAAAGGTGAGTAGAT